ATGAAAGTTTGCCTCTAAGAGGATTTTCACCCTCGGGAGAAATTTATAAGGCACCACACCACTAGTTTGCATTGCAATGTAAAAGGATTTAATGCTAAAATTCCCAGAACTAGTAAGTAACCAAGACATTATATGTTCTATATCATTAAGGTTGAAACATACATTTGTTGCAACTTGGTCCAAAGCTCTGCTTTCTCCCCTACCAAGGCTCTCCAAAGAGTCAAGGTAGGAAGGTTACTACCAAGAGTCACAGTAATAGTAATATGATGTGAGAAATTGGGTATAGTCTTGGGAAAACTTGATATAGTGTATCATTGCATAACCATGTGTCTTCCCGAAACCTTGTCTTCTCACCATTACCGACACATAATCTACAACAGGAAAGAAAGAGATCATTTACTTTCAGCAACCGCTACCAAAAGTGAGAATCTCCCTCTCTATGTTGTACCTGTCCCTGAGCTCCCCCCTATATTTTTCTCTAATCATATCATGACAAAGGCTAAGTTCATTAAGCAGCTTCCACAACCACTTGGATAAAAGGCCATCATTTATTAATTCCGTATAAATCAACCCAAATTCCCTAAACCTCCTAATCTTTAGGAAGGCAAACCACATGCCAAGATACCAAGTGGTATTTTGTCTTGTTTTTGACCTCACTCCCGAGGAACCTACCTCTAGGTCCGCCACAAGCCAACAACCAAGTGGCATTTTCTCTTATTTTTGACCTCACTCCCGAGGAACCTACCTCTTGGTCCATCATATTTCTTCTTGATCCCTTTGGAGAGATAATAGAAATATAACATATAGAGACAGACAAAACAAGATAGAGAGGACTTATTTAAAATGGTCTTCACCTGAAACCCCCAATGTTAAGGTTTTTACCAAGCCAACATCCTATCCTTTTCTCAATCTTCCCAATGAATGAACCTAGTCACTATTTTAAAGTCTTTTCTCATCCACTAGAATCGCAAAATACTTCATAGCAAGCTACCACTGCCATAGGTGAACCTTTATTCAAAAGATACTAGTTCTTTCTTTAGAATGCCTTATGCAAAATACTTTACTCTTGTGGTAGTTGGTTTTCAAGCATGACATCTCTTCAAAGAGACTGATGTCTACTACGCAAATTTATCCTTGTAGACGTTGTTGGGCCTCCAAGTGCAAAGTTTTGTAGGACAACAACAAATTTCCCTCAAGTGGATGACCTAAGGTTTATCAATCCATGGGAGGCGTAGGATGAAGATGGTCTTTCTCAAACAACCCTGCAACCAAATAACAAAGAGTCACTTGTGTCCCCAACACATCCAATACAATGGTAAATTGTATAGGTGCACTAGTTCAGCGAAGAGATGGTGATAAAAGTGTAATATGGATGGTAGATATATGTTTTTGTAATCTAAAAATATAAAAACAGCAAGGTAGCAAGTAACAAAAGTGAGCAAAAACGATATTACAATGCTTCGAAACAAGGCCTAGGGTTCATACTTTCACTAGTGCAAGTTCTCTCAACAATGATAACATTATTAGATCATATAACAATTCATCAACGTGCAACAAAGAGTCACTCCAAAGTCACTAACAACGGAGAACAAACGAAGAGATTATTGTAGGGTACGAAACCACCTCAAGAAGTTATTCTTTCTGATCGATCTATTGGGCTATTCCTACAAGTGTCACAAACAACCCTAGAGTTCATACTAAAATAACACCTTAAGACACACATCAACCAAAACCCTAATGTCACATAGATACTCCAATGTCACCACAAGTATCCGCGGGTTTTATTATATGATATGCATCACACAATCTTAGATTCATCTATTCGAACGAACACAAAGAACTCAAAGAGTGCCCTAAAGTTTCTACCGAAGAGTCAAGACGAAAACGTGTGCCAACCCCTATGCATAAGTTCACAAGGTCACAGAACCTGCAAGTTGATCACCTAAACATACATCAAGTAGATCACGTGAATATCCCATTGTCACCATAGATAAGCACATGCAAGGCATACATCAAGTGTTCTCAAATCCTTAAAGACTCAATCCAATAAGATAACTTCAAAGGGAAAACTAATCCATTACAAGAAGGTAGAGGGGGAGAAACATCATAAGATCCAACTATAATAGAAAAGCTCGTGGTACATCAAGATCGTGCCATATCAAGAACACGAGAGAGAGAGAGATCAAACACATAGATACTGGTACATACCCTCAGCCCCGAGGATGAACTACTCCCTCCTCGTCATGGAGAGCGCCGGGATGATGAAGATGGCCATCGGTGATGATTTCTCCCTCCGACAGGGTGCCAGAATAGGGCCCCAATTGGTTTTTGGTGGCTACAGAGGCTTGCGGCGGCGGAACTCCCAATCTAGGTTCTGTTCTGGAGGTTTGGGGATATATAAGAGGTGTTGGCATCGAGAACAAGTCAGGGGAGTCCACGAGGGGTCCACAAGGTCGGAGGGCGCGCCCTCCACCCTTGTGGAGGCCTCGGGACTCCTCTGGTGCATCTCCGGTACTCCGTGGGCTTCTTTTGGTCAAAAAACAATCGTCATAAAGTTTCAGGTCAATTGGACTCCGTTTGATATTCCTTTTCTGTGAAACTCAAAAACAAGGAAAAAACAAGAACTAGCACTGATCTCTAGGTTAATAGGGTAGTCCCAAAAATCATATAAATAGCATACAAAACATCCAAGATAGATAATATAATAGCATGGAACAAATTTTTTTTAGATACGTTGGAGACGTATGAGAGACATAGCACGAGTTTCATTTTATTGGCTTGCTCCAAATCATCCTGCATATGAAGGATTGTGTCATGTGGGTACTAAATTATGACCACATCTCCTTTCATTAAATGTTTGGTCAGCCTAGTGACAAGACCTTGATTAACAACCTTGCCCTCTAAAAATGGAAAGTACATCTACAACTAGGTCAGAAAGTAAGAGAGCAATGGGTCTTCGTGTCTCAAACCCTGATGGGTATTTAAGTATGACCCAATTTCCCCATTCACTTTCACCATCACCCTCCCTGAGAGATAATGGTCATGATCCAGTTATTTCATTTGTGAAAACATTGTTTCATTTTCAAAGATTAATTTTGTTAAAGGCCTTTTGAAAATCAATTTTGAAATGAACACTAGAGAGTTTTTCCCTATTCAATTCATTAATTGCCTCATGGAGTACCAAAACACCCTCCAATATGCATCCCCTAAAGGAAGGCAGTCTGAGGCCCTGATCACCCACTCGATAATAACAGTAAGCCTATTGACTAAAACTTTGGTGATGAATTTAAATATGATATTCAACTAGGAAATTGGTATAATTTTTTTAAATTCCATCAATGTCAGTGCCTTTGGGAATTAGAGTTATCACTCCATAGTTGAGCCTATCCGTATCAAGCAAGTTATCATGAAAACCTTTCATATACATGTAAGAGCAACTCCAACGCAGTGACCCAAACGAACATCCATTTTGCCAATGTTTTATCCGTTTGGACCGGCCGAGCGGACATATTGTTCGCTTTTTCATTTGGGTCAGCCGGTGCGTGCCAACGGTCGCTAACCCATTTTTGACATGTTCGCCCCGATATTCTGTCAAACATGTAGCAGGCAGGGGAGCTCGCAGCACGCGGGGAGGCGAGGCCGACGGCAGCAGCAGCACTGGCCCGACGCGGGCGTGCTCGAACCCCATGGCTGGGAAAGGCGCTCCGAGGTGAGGCCGGGCACAGCTAGGCGCGGCGAGTCGATGCCTGGACGAGCGTCGCCTGCGAGAGAGAGAAGTGGGTTTGTGACAGGTAGGCTATGCCTCGCATGCAGCGGACAGAGGCGGACGAAGAGGACACAGAAAGCGTCAGCTTAGTGTCCGCCTCCGACTCAATGTGACCCAAATTTGCACCAGAAATGTGTCCGACCGGACACAAAATAAACAGTAAATGGGAATGAATTTGTGCCTTGAGCAGTGTTTTTTGCATGCGCGGACATAGATGGCGCGAGTGACAGAGAGACAGAGGCGAGATGCGGTGCGTGGGTGGGTGGGCCAGCGGAGAGAAAAATCAAGAGAGAAAAGTGGGTGTGTGACAAGTAGGCTATGCCTCGCATGCAGCGGACAGAGACGGACAAAGGGGACACAGAAAGCGTTCGCTTTGTGTTCGTCTCTGACCTAAATATGACCGAATTTGCGTCGGAAATGAGTCCAAACGAACGCAAAACAGACAATAAATGAGAAGGAGTATGTGCCTGTGCCTTGAGCAGTGTTTTTTGCTTGCGCGGACATAAATTACGCGAGCCGATCAAATGGGTCTCAGTGTTGGAGTTGCTCTAAGACTTGAAGGAGCAAGATTGTGCATCGTGATTCATGAGTTCAATCGATGCACTAGCACGTTTATTCGATATGACACCACCATGCTCGCCTTGGACGCACACATCTGGAATAGAAAATGAAATCGGTGAGGAACCCATTCCATCGTGTTTTCTTTTGCCCCCCGGAGATTCGAAAATGACGGCAACCTAAATCATCCCTTTCCTTTATTATAACTTTTCAAAAAGATACCACTACAGGTGAGAACATTCCTTGATACGCGGCCGAGACGGGGCCCACAGGTCAGCGCCACGAACGCGCACGTACGCTCGCGGCAAATGATGAGCTCTCGGTCCAATCAGCCTCCACCACCTCCCCTCCCGCGCCGCCACCACCTCCCGGGCCCCACCGCCACCACCCGCTGGCGGAAGGAACCTCTGGTGGGGCCCGCGTGGAAGTGAGCGACGGCCCTCCCACTCGGCCTGGCGTCTCCCCGTGCTCCCCGTGGTCAACTCGCTGCTTCCCCAGACGCTGACCGGCGAGGAAATAGGCGGAGGCCGGGCCACCCAAAGCGCCGAACACCTTGCGCGCACCACTTCCTTCGCCATGGGCGCGCCATGAGACACCACCTCCCGTAGCCACCGCAGCCCTTACCGCTACCGCGCACACCCCCACCCCACTCCGCCGCTCCGCCACCTCCTCACCCATGCTTCCGCGCAGCGCCCTCCTCCGCCTGCTGCTGCTCGCGCCGCTGCTGCTGCCGCTCGCCCGGGGCCAGCCGCAGCCGACGCTCCTGCGGCAGGACATCCAGGCGCTCTACGGTCTGCGCGCGTCCCTGGGCCTGCGCGCGCGGGACTGGCCCGCCAAGGCCGACCCCTGCGCCGCCTGGGCCGGCGTCGCCTGCCGCGCCGACCGCGTCACGAGGATCCGGCTGGGCGGGCTCCGCCGCACCCGCATGGGGGAACGCAGCGCCGCCTTCGCCGTCGACGCGCTGCGCGGGCTCCCGGCGCTCGAGGAGTTCAACGCCTCCGGGTTCCCGCTCCCCGGCCGGATCCCGGCCTGGTTCGGCCGCGGCCTCCCGCCGTCGCTCGCCGTCCTCGACCTCCGCTCGGCCGGCGTCGATGGCGAGCTGCCCCTCTACCTCGGCATGTCCGGGAACCTGACCACCCTCGTTCTAGCCGGTAACAGCCTCTCCGGCCGGATTCCGGCGTCAGTTTTCTCCAGTAAGGCTCTCCGGATCCTTGACCTTTCCAACAACAACCTCACCGGGGAGCTTCCCGACGTGTCTGCCTCCGCCGGTGACATAGCAGGAGCTCTGTTTAACGCCTCGGGGAATTCACTCTACGGTGCGATTGGCGATGTCCTGGGGTCCCTCAAGAAGAGGTTTCAGGTGGTCGATGTGTCTAGCAATTACTTTGGCCAAGCGGCCACCACTGGATTTCAGAATGGCTCTGAGGGAACAGTCTACATCAAGATGAATTGCTTGCCAGGCCTACCAGGCCAGCGCAGCCCTGGTGATTGTGAGGATTTCTTTAAGAGGAATGGATTGCCATTGCCAGAACCACCACAAGCATCCCCATCACCGGGCAAGAAAGGCGTCAGGTGGAAACATGTACTAGCTGGAGTTCTTGGAGCTGCAGCTATTGTGGTTGTCCTTTCACTTGCAGCACTGGTGTTTTGCTTGGTGAGGAGGGGGAGAAGGAGGCCTAGAGGAAGAGGGCTGGAGCAGAACGACGACGGCATCCGCTCTGGTCGCAAGAGCAGCAGTGTGAATCCGATGGTGATGTCACCATCCCGGGCAGCAAACAGTCCACCCAAGGGTTTGCCTGCCGTCGTGGATGAGCTCACCTATGAGCAGTTGCACCATGTCACCGGAGGCTTTGGAGATGATAACCTTGTCAAGCATGGGCGCTCTGGGGACATCTATCGTGGTGTCTTAGAGAGTGGCTTAAATGTTGTCGTAAAAAAGGTCGACGTGAAGAGCAGTAAGAAGAACATAGTGGAATTAAGCTTTCTTGTCAAAAAATCCCATGCCAGGATTGTTCCATTGCTGGGGCATTTGGTCAAGGATGACGAGGAATTGCTAGTGTACAAGTACATGTCAAGGGGAGATTTGACAACTGCACTGCACAGGAAGCCAGCAGATGCTGAAGTGGGGTTATCTTCATTGGATTGGATAACAAGACTGAAGATTGCAATTGGCGTAGCTGAGGCCCTGTGCTTCCTTCACGATGAATGTAGTCCACCATTGGTTCACAGGTATGATTATGCATGCCATGCACTATTTTTTGGAGGATGGCAGTCACAGAAAAATTTATTGTATAAAACATCGCATAGCTGTGGTAAGCTATTTTTCGGCATTAACATCATGATTAGAATGTGGAAATTTCAGATTCTATGCAGCTCAATAAATCATGGCATTTTAATGAAGAAGTTTTACTGGAGGTCACAAGTGAGACAGTGACAGAAGGAAAATAATATTACCTATGTAGGCATCTAAAATGGTTGTAATTGCACATCTCACTCGATGCATGTCAAAGATCCATTTCTGGAAGAAAATAATATGTATAAGCATTTTGTCGACCAACATTTAGAAGTGAGGACACCAGATGCCATGCTTAATATATTGTAAATATTATCTTATATATTTCCTAGATGCATTGGCTTCATATCAATGGTATTAATTCTAACATGCTTTGTAATTTTCGATGACATTTTTGTTTAGAATTTTATTAAGGGAACTAGCAGGTGCTCTGCTTTTGCATTAAGAAGATGGGAAAACAAAAGTTACAAGGCTTACGCCCAGTAAAAAAAAGGCAGCAACAAAAGAAAGAAAATACTCCAAACTGCAACACTAGCTTTGGGCTGAACAACAGCCTACACACATATGTTTCTTTACATGTGCAAATGCATTGGAAAAACAAGGAATAATTATAAACAGCATGCAGTAAAGTTGATTAAATAATTTATTCGTTTTGTGCTTGACTAAGCCTTGTGTCCCTCTGTCATGGTCTCATGGTATTGCAATTGCCATAATTTGACCATCCAAATCCGAGTTGATGCGTGTTGCTCAATTTCTTTGATTTAGTTTTTGACATGATTTTTTTTTTAATATTTCCAGTCAGCACTTGTTCTTATTCATTTGTGATCACGTCATAATATTTGTAGAGATATCCAAGCAAGCAGTGTTCTTCTTGATGACAAATTTGAAGTGTGCCTTGGAAGTTTGAGTGAAATCTGCCTTCAACCAAGTGATGGAAGCAGGAGTTTCTTCTCTAGGATGTTGAGATCATCAAAGTAAGACCTGTATGTCATCTTCTACTATAGTTAGCATGCTACTCTTAAAAGAAACTCTAGTGGCCTAAATGGTTATAGTATGTCTGTATGTGTATCTCATCAGCATATTTCCTTTCACAGATATCACTTTCAACCGAGAGTAAAAGTAATGACCTATTTAGTTGGTCACTACAGTTTATCCTTAGTTTACTGCTCAAAATAAAGCTTATGAACTGGAGACGACTACTGTATTTTGTTTCTACAAGCAGTGTAGCCACACTGTTTCCTCCAAGAATGTGTTACTGCACACTCAACTAGACTATTTATCGAACATGTTGGTGGTTCCTCATCCCTGTTACATCGAAAACAAGTTACCTGTTAAGAGCTGTTTGGTATATCCTATCGAACAGTTTGCATCAAGATAGTGACCGGTACAAGTCAACGCAATTGAGTAAATATATTGACAAATGGCTATTTTTTTCCAGTTAGTCTAACATATCACTGTAATTTTACACCTTGTCTCTATGCGGTAATGCCATGATGAAACCTCCACATCATCTACCAAACACAAGATGGATCGTCCACATTTTTTTTGAAAACTTGATGTTTGTTCGAGTATATAAAATATCAGGGCTCTTTGGCTGACATCTGTATCTGTCTCTCTTTTTTATGGCAGGTCTCTCGACAAGAACATGTCAGGTGTGTAAAGCTTCTTCATAACTCCCTTTTCCAGTAGTTTTATACTGTACAGCATGTGCATAATAATTCTGTTGAGCAAAATTTTATGCATGTTCTTCACCTAACAGGTCCACCTGCTAGCCGCACATATGATATTTACTGCTTTGGAAAGGTGCTACTAGAGCTAATCACCGGGAAATTTGGCGTGAGTGGCTCAAACGACACCGACTCAGAGGAGTGGTTGGCAAGCACTTTAGATTACATTGAAACCCATGACAAGGAGAATGTCATAAATATTGTAGACCCTTCACTTGTTGTGGACGAAGACCACCTAGAAGAAGTATGGGCAGTCTCCATTGTAGCGAAGACATGCCTGAATCCAAAGCCCTCCAGGCGGCCTCTTGCTCGGTACATCTTGAAAGCGCTGGAGAACCCGCTAGGGGTGGTGCGGGAAGAGCTCTTCTCGAGCCCCAGTTCAGCTCGGCTCACAAGTACCTCATCCCGAAGCTCTTGGCGTTCTGCTTTCCATGGGCACTCGTACCAGTACTCCGAGGTGCAAACATCAGGGAAAGTACTTACCTGTAGGCAGTCAGCAAAGTCCGAAGGAAGCGACGAGGAGGAAAATTCCTTCTCCTTCAAGAAGGCTTCGCAGGAGATGCTCCCGGATCCAGTAGAGCTGGAAGACAGAGCTGTTGTGTAGGATCACCATAGATTAGTGATACTTTACATGAGCTGAGACTTTTTTTTGTTGTTGTTAATCTCAGATGTGTATAATCCATCGTCTGATGTGCATATTTTGCTGTCCTAGTAGGTGAAAAAACTGTGTATACAAGGAGTAGGCTTTCTTTATCTCCCACCCTCTTCAGTGAGACAGTTTTCTGTAACTTATACTGAGAATAAATCCGTAATCTGTACTGGGAATAAACGGCGCTGCAAGTGGCCAGTAGTTTTGGTAAGCATACCTACTTAACTTTTTTTTTTGATTTACTTGCCATTCTGGAGTACAATGTTTTACCTGTTCAACATGAGTATTCTGCGACTCGCAGTGCCATTAACCAGAGAGGAGAGTTTTTTTTTTCACAGTAACTACAGGAGAGTTGATATCTAGCGCGGAGCTGATATTGAGCTAAAATCTGGCCTTCTTGAATTGCATCTCTGACTGCATGCAAAAAAATAGAAGAAGAGAGAAAATGCAAAAAAGAAGTTGGGTTCGCTGTATGCTAAAAAAAAGAAGAAGAGGAAAATGCAAAAAAGCAAGGTCCCACCGAGACTTGAACTCGGGTTACTGGATTCAGAGTCCAATGTCCTAACCACTAGACCATGGGACCAAGTTGACGACATTTCCGCATCAACATATTTATACCATACTAGGAGTGGCCGATTCCCTTTAGAGCCATACATATAGGATGCACTTCTGTTCCATTTCGTTGAACGAAACATCACCGTTTTACGTGCTTCATTACAGGCTCATATCGATGTAGGCTGTGTTCGGCAATACTCTGCTCCTTCGAGCCAGGGAGCGGAGCGGGCGGAGCACCCATCTGGCCGCTCACCAAAATTTCACCGAGTGCCGCTCCGCTCCGCGGCGGAGTTACGGAGCGGCGAGATTCCAAATGGCCTCGTAGAATCACATCACACTAATACAGCAGCAAACTTAACTCGACCCAGGAAAGGAGAACACCGGCAAAAAATTTCAAATGCAGCATTATCAAACCCAGGCGACCATGAAAACCTTCTTGAAAGATCTTAAGCTTCTTCCTCGCGCTCCAATATTTGGCTAGCGCGCGGCTCTTCCGTTCTAGCAGCAGCAGCAGCATCCACTGGAGCGTCTCCAACTTCGCTGTTCCTTTGCCGGGCACAGCAGCCTCTGTTCCCTCCCTGATCATAGGAAACAGCTTCTGCCAGAGTACCTTCATACCAATCCGCCCTTTATTTCCACAAAAGCCTACAGTGAAGCACTGAAAACCATACTACTGATGATCACATTCTTCTTACTACCGAGCCAAAAAATTCGGCCACCACACATTCGATAAAAAGATGCATCACCGTTTCCTTCTCCGAACAGAAGTTACAGGATTTGTCAACTATGTTTTGCCTATTAGACACATTGATGTTGGGCTTAATAACCATATGAAAAACGTGCACCCGGGGCGGGATGCTCAATTGGCACATTGCAGGAACAAAATTTGCTTTAGAGTGATTTCAGTCACTACATAAATCCCAATTGAATTCAGCCCACAATTCTTTTTCCAAGTGTTTGCCTCTGAATAGTACTCCTAGAACATATCTGGGGATTGTTATTCCCTTTGATCCATAATTACCCGTCGCTGCTTTAGTACAAATTTGTACTAAAGCGACGACAACTAATATGGATCAGATGGAGTATTATCTTCAAGTACACAATTTGTTTCTACAATTTATGATTCTCTACGCGATATTTTCTGACCCAAGAAGTTAACAAGCAAATATTTAGTCCCTTGAGATTGGGAACGCCCAATCCACTGAATTTACGCGGACTGAGTAACCCGCGTTTTCTTTTCTTCAGAAACAGTGCAGCTTGTTATAAATAGTTCAACCAAATGTATGTACTAATTGGTATCTTAGACACGAAATATCACAAAATTAGGTCTAAAACTTTTGGCAACTCAAGTCACAACTCGCATCAAATGCAAGGAACCGACTCCTGGTACTTTCCACTCTAGCGTACGCCCTTCTTAGTCTTCACCAGAGCTCCCGGAGTACTTCACCACAGAGGGAAAGATATTCTCGAAGGTACCATGTATGTCTCCATAAAATGTGGGTCAGCCAACTCCTTATACATACGTCTTACGGAGGCCTCCTCAGCTTCCAGTTCGGCGTCAGTATGTCCCAAATCTTCCTTGGGTCCCTCAAAACGAAACATGCCCCTCAACCAACCACTTTCAGATTGACCACCAATGTACGCGTCGGCCTTGGGGTGTTTCACATCAGTTGAACAAGCATAGCAGTGGCCATTTTCATCATCAGAAGGATCAACCCTGCAGATACAGCTGACCACCAACTCATGGCGCCCTTTCTGGATAGCTTCAGCGAAGAATAACAGATTGTCGATGCCGCAGTCAAAACCATAAGCTCCTTTGGTCTTTGCTGTGAAATTGATATGGTAGTACCTCCCATCGCTATCACCGTCATGAAAATACCGGTAGCGCACAACATCTTGGAGCTCATACGCGAGATCCCCCCGAAAGATTGTGGTCATCGTTATACTTGTCCGTCAAAGCTTGAACCAGCTGGAGCTCCCAACGACGGCTATCATCAATTGGCAGTGATTTCAAACGATTCTTCCTCCTGCCGTCTGGCCAGTAAAGCTCTCGCCATATAGCCTTCTCCGGGGTACACTTCAAGTGCATTTTGGGATGCAGGCGGTCGGAAAGATAGCGGCCGATGGCACGGCAAGCTTCGTCTAACCTACGAAACGGCCCACCCACATGAGGATAGGTGTGGAAAGACCCCTCATGATCGATCCTCGTATGAAATTGCAGTGACCATTCACGTACCAACCGAACCCAGATGGTGTCAGTTCTGGACGGTTCCTCCAATACTGTGGCGTCGAGGAAGTCCCCCAAGATCAAGACGTCCGATTGTTGCAGAAGTTTTGCATCCCCCTCATGTCTGGAGTGGAACAATAATTCGTCCATGAGTTGGTCCATACCTCGGACCTGCATGCCTTGAGAACCATAGTCCGTGAAGTACCTCCCATCCCTGCCTGAGAAGACAACAATCACTGGCGCGGAATCGGAACGGACTTCGGCGAGTCGGTGCCGGGTGTATCCGCGCGGAGAAACGAGCTGTTCGCTCTGCCCGCAGCCATGGACGGAAAAGATCTGTCGCCCGGCGGCGGTGGTAACATCGAAGTGTACCGCTGGGTGGCTCGGGCAGAGGTGGAGGTTGTCAGCGTGGTCACGTCCGTCACTTTCACGGCGGCCGCGATGGTTTGCCATGGGGAAGCGGGGTGGAAGGCGGTTATTAGGGCTTCGTGGTGATTTCTGCGTGAGGCGAGGTAGGGGAAAACAGAACCGACTAACCCTCAGTTAGCTAGACTTTTTTATCTTATCCGCTGCCTCCCCCACCGTCAGATCAAGCTTAACCAAGCGGCCCACAACGTCCCCCTTTGCCTCGTGCATCGTCACTGACGTCGTATATATTGCAACATTGGCCATGTTTCAACAACACTAGTGATGTTGCAATCCCGTGAGCTCGCAGATCCGTGCCTTTGCAACAACGATGATGTTTCAGAAACACGTCTCTGCAACAACTTTTAGAAACATGCTTCTGCAACAACGTCGATGTTTCAGAAACACCGGTGACAATGCAATCTAGGTGTGTGCGATCTGTTTAAAAAACGTGTCTTTGCAACAACAACGATGTTTCAGCAACTCGCCTCTGCAACAATGACGATGTCTTAGAAACGCCGAAGACATTGTCAATCCGGGCATGTGTATGCACGTGGTGGCTTAAAACACCGTACGATCATTACGACAGCTCAACCCGACGATGTCCTCCGCGCATCAGCCGGTAGAATGCAAGTGTTTTCCTTATTCTAAGCTAACAAAAACTTTTTGGTAGCTCATGTACCTCCCGATTGTTCTCCCTTCTCTCGTGCTTGATATGGACTTCGACTAAATCTCATGTGTTCACCTTGATCTCCGGAATAATAGCTTTGCTATATTGCCCATATAGGTCCTTGAGGTGCTTTATCATAGCCATACAACTAGTATCCACGAACGCGTTTGGTTGCCTGATGAGGTCGTCGAACAATGTCATGCTGAGTGTAATCCTACTATTTGAGTAACACAAATTATTTCCCCGCAAAAAAAGTTCAAACAGGCCCATGCGTTGTAAAATTGACCCGTTTGGTAGTATGCATTCACTTTTTCGCCTGCATATCATGAAACTCATGCTATAAAGATCGCATTGGATCTGCCTGCCTGGTAGATCCTGGGCGCGAGAAACAAAGTGTAATGATGGTGATGGGACCTTCTGTGGGACCAGCGTCCCTTGGGTACGTGTGCCAGATCAAGCCAGGTTTTGGCCCGGATTAGGTAGTCGAGTGGCGACGTCCAGAACCTTCGTTAACATTGGTTTCGATAAAGGCCGGAATCACGAAAGCCAGACATTTCGGTGGTTTGCTAGGGATGTTAGCAAGTTAGCGGAGCTACTGGCCACAAACTCAAAGGAGGAGCTCGTCAAGACTTCAGCACGACGGTTCAAGACAAAGCTTCAACCAAAAACTAGGGGGAACTTGATGCGGCTTGAAACTGCTTCGGTATTTCCCCAAAGAGGAAGAGATGATGCAGCACAGCTACAGTAGGTATTTCCCTTAGTTATGAAACCAAGGTATCAATCCAGTAGGAGGACCAAGCAAGACTATGTAAATGGTACCTGCACACAAAGAACAAATACTTGCAACCCAACGCGAAAGAGGGGTTGTCAATCGCTCCACGGTAATAAGATAGATTGTTTTGTGATAGATTGGATAAATAGATCTCGATAAAACTCAAAATAAAATAAAGAAAGAAAAAGTGAAGCAAGGTATTTTTTTGGGTTTTTGGAAATATAGATCTGAAAATAAATATGGTAAAAAATATATCGGAAAGAAAATATGATAAAAGATAGACCCCGGGGCCATAGATTTTACTAGTGGCTTCTCTCGAGAAATAG